CGTCTTAGGTGGTCCATTCGGAAAGTCCAATTTTGGGCAACTTTTTCGAGCATTTCGGCCGGAATAGCCCGAATTTCTTCGGAAATGTTGTCTTCCAAAGCTGGAATAGTTGCTGGCTTATNTTAATGTCCAATAAAGTAAACTGAGTGCGAAACTTGGTCACAATCGCATTAATTGTTTGCTCACTTGGTCGATTATGTAGACCATAAATCGGACGTAAAGCGAACCGAACACTGATTTTGGTAATAAAATTCAATGATTTGCAAGCGTTGCTCGTTAGTAAGTCTATTCATGATGAAATGTCAAAGCATACTGAGCATCTTTCTCTTTGACACCATGTCTGAAATCCCACGTGATCTGTCAAATACTAATGCATGAAAATCCTAACCTCAAAAAAATCACCCGTTATAACATAAGTTTACGCAGCCACCGAACGGCAAATGGTTTTTCATGAGAAGCGTTTTCAACGTCAAAAATACACCGTTGCCATTGCCTGCCGAGTGGTGACTGCTGTTAGAAAAAAACTTTTACTAATTTAGACGTTGCCCGGCCTCTGATCGAACCCAGGTTCTACGGTTGTCTTTTTGTTTTTCGGGTCAAATCTAGTAATTGAAATTTCAACACTTTCCTATTGTCCAATTGATCTGAATTTTGATTCACATCTTTAGTTCTCATGACAAAATGCCGGATTACATAGTTTTTTAACAACCCCCTTAATATGGGTATCAAAAGAAAGGTATTGACTAGTTGAATACAGTGCACTATGAAAATTTTCAAATTCAAGATGGCCGTCACCACAAAATGGCCGATTACATCTTTTTTTTTTACAACGCTATCAATATGGGTATCAGATGAAGGGGCTCGACTAGCAGAAGGCATTACACCATGGAAAAGTTGTAAATCGAAGATGGCCCCTACTTAAAACAAAATGGCGAAAACAATTTTTTTTTAGTCTGTTAGGGAGATGACTGGTACCTAGGACCTACATAATTATTTTGTAGCTTTTCATTATTATCTTTCTTTTTAATAGAACTGTTCAACTTAAATTTTTCTTTATTTTTTTTTTGTTTTAAAGGTGAGTATCTAGTTGCTTTTAAATGTACAGCTATCAATAATAAATCTGATTAAAGATGACACTAATAGTCCCAGATGTACCCATTATTCATTTATATCTTCACCATCTGCCATTCTTTGTACATTCATTAGTTTAATAAAATATGCTTAAGGAAGTGAGCAGGGTTGTATTTTATAATTATTTATGTAGATGCCTTAGCTCTTAGTTAAATTTAGTATTTGCATTTGATGCAAATTTATGACTTGTTTTGACTGTTCTGCCAACAAAAATTTACATACTTTAACTTTCCGTTCCCATTCCCCACCTACTTTTACGGACTCTTCTCATGCGGCAACTTTCTGTTTATTATCGATCAAACCATGCAAGAATAATCATTTGGCAGTGAACTCGTAAAGAAAACATCCCTATCTGTAGGAAGGTAAACAATCAAGCGCAAACTACAAATAAATAATTTTTATCTGCTACACAAATTTAAATAAATAATCAAGTACTATAGCTTATACAATTTATGTTTGTGTGTACTTATTTGCAGACAAATGTGCATACATATGTACATATGTATTAACATGTAAACTCACAGTTTACCAGAGCGCCAGCAATTCGTAACCGAATATGACATCGTTTACAAAATTTTCTTGGCAAGTGTTTGTCACTCTCTCTGTGATATCATCATTTTCTCTGCCATTTTCTAAGTCCCCTTTCAGACACGTCAAGTCTTGAAAGCAATTTTAATCGCATTCTCTTTGGTGTTTTCTCTTTGCTTCCACACGCGTCAAGTTTAATTGCTTCGTTAAGTTATATATATACATATGTACATAAGTGTAAATATTTGTGCTGCTTTATATAGTTAAGATATCATTTAAAATGGTACGATTGCTAGTATAAAAAGCTAAGCGCCTAGTAGCTATTCTGGGTGCACACAGTTCCTATGTTGTGTAATTTGTACTGATAATTATCGTAAAATGTTGACAATGAATGCCGTTAAAATACCTGCACATTTTTTCACGGCTAATGAAACACAATTTGTAATTTGTAACAATGTCGGAAAATTTAATTTAAAAGCAAAGCTAAACTTGACTGAAAATGTTGCATTCAAAAACCCAGATTCCTCCTATCGTAGTAATTTAACGCCCTGCTAAAAATTCACGGCCGGTCTGCTTTATCGACTTTTTATCGATTGCCTGTTATAAACATGTGAGCGACAAATTTGACAGGCGGTTATCTTTAATTGTCAGTCTAGAAAACGGCTCTAACTAAAACTAAAATAATAGAAACCAAACTATAGATTGCTCAATAAAGTTAAGAGTTTTGTAGACTAATTCGCAATCCATTACGGATAGACCGAATAACGTAATTGTAAGTCAAGTGGGAACATGGCATTGGAGTTTGGAGGATTTCAAAATATAGATCAAATATAGATCTACTTATTCTCCATTTTTTTCTTTCAGATTTTATAAGTTTAAAATAACTTTCCTCGTTCTACTGAATCATTTTTTGATATTATAGCTCTTGTTTTAAATTGTCATTTTATAATTCTTCATAGGCTTATACTGGATTTCCACTAGGCATGAAATGACAAAGGTGGTCATTAAGAAATTGCTATGCCTAAGGGAAAAATTGCAGTGTAAGTAAATTGATAAGATAGAGTAAGTATTGCAATATGGCTGCCAAAAGAAATAGGTTTAAAAAGGCGTAGAGCCGAAAATATTTTTGTGGAAGGTTGCCACCTGTTTGAAAATGTTTATTCAATTAAATTGATACAATAAATGAATAAAGAGCTTTAAGAAAGTATACTGTCGAAAATATTTTTGTAGAGGGTTGCCACCTGTTTAAAAAATTTAATTCAATTAAATTGATAAGTAATTATAGATATTGAATTAGTTCGCTTTTGAAGAAAATGCGCGATATGTAGATCGAGTTATAAGGCTATAAATTAAATTGCCATGAGAAAGTCGATACTTTACCTACTTTCTAAAAACCTTCGAAAATATATTGAATATCGAAATATTTGAAAAACCCGTATTTATAGTTCGATTTGGTTCATATTTAGAAAGCTTGCTTTATTTTTCAAGAGTTTTGGGAGGGAGTAACAACGCGTCTTTGCTATTCTATTCAACAGCCAAAACCACAGCAGTCAGTTTTTTTTTTTTGATTTCTTACAAAACTCTGGAAAATGCAAGAAACTTTAAACTTTTCAATTCGATTTCTTGGAAAAATGCAAAAAAAAATCTCAAAAATTAGCGGTAATTTTAAGCGACTTGAAAGTTGCACTTTAAATTTAATGTGCTACAAAATTGCATACTAAAAATTTGTCTAAGAAATCGAATTGAAAAAATTAAAATTTGTTGGTATTTCTTGAATTTTCCTGAGTTCTTTTTGAAATTAAAAAATTGATTCTTGTGGTTTTTGCTTTGCACGTTTCCTTAATTTCATGTCAACATTTAAGCATACATTTAGTAGGCATTTCCGTCCCCAACCATTGCCGTTGCATTCGCCATGCTGATTTTTAATTTATTAACGCCGCTAAATAAGTTTCACTTCTATTATGTATGTATGTTTGTAGACAAACTGAAAAAAATTGTGATGAGTATGAGCAAAATCCTCTTAGACTTTGACTTTAGGCATAGTGTGGTTGAGGCCCTAAAATTGCTGTTCCTACAGTGTAATAAATATAATGAGCATTGAAATAAATTTCCATGCCGTAATTACCTTGGAAAATTTAGTCGATACTAATTTCATAACTCGCATGTCTACATAATATTGAGATAATATTCATTGTCATTGTTATTGGCAATTTTTGTATGTAAAAAAGCAAAAATTGCATCATCAATAAGCAATTTCGAAATGTGATTTTGCAATGCTGAGAGTACAGTTGCTACTCTCGTTTTTTTTTTTGTATTATTTGCATCTTGGCACGGCAAATTCGCAATGGTCATCACTCAAACATTTTGCTTGCTGCCAAATAAGTATTTGTTGTACTGCAAAACAAAAGTACAAACTACGAAACAAACTACTAATTGCAGGTTATTTTCTTTGCCGTTCGACTGAATTCTGCTTTTATGTATGCAGCACATACACTGGCGTCCGAAGTAATAGACACGTCGTACTTTTAAGAATTTTGGCTATATTTATTTATTTTATTTTTTGTTTAATATTTTTTTTTTTTATAAAAGCCTAGTAATACAACAAACATTATTTAAATCCGCTTTTCCAACTTAAAAATAAAAATATAATAATTTAAATTTTTAGAAAATTTTTGGTATGCAGTTTTGTAGCCCATTCAATTGTAATATAATAAAGTACAAGTTTCAATTGGCTACAAAAACCGTTGATTTTTAAGAATTTTTCTGCTGAAATTCTGAATAAAAAGTTTAAATATTTGGTGAAAATTGGTCGAATTTTTATAATTTTTGTAAAAAGTTTGAAAAGGGAATTTATATGGTGTTTGTTGTATAACTAGCCATGAAAATATAGCCAAAACTCTTCAAAGTAAGGCGAGTCTATTATTTATGCCGCCAGTCTACATATTTGTTTAGCTGCACTCAAGTGCGTCGGTGATGAGTCGTACGTCAATTGGGCGGGTTATTTATAAGCATAATTAAAAAAAAAAAAAACAAACAAATAAAAAAATGGCATCACATAACATCTTCTTTCCGTCGGCAACCGCTGATTGGCTGGCAGCATTCTGACGCTTAGCTCCACCGTTGATGATTGTTGACGCACCGGTTGCCCGGTTTGGTTTTACAATACAATTTGCGATATAAATATTCTTAACAGCTGAATTGAAGCAATATCAATTGAATTTTACGCTCACTTCCTTCATTCACAACTTTACATGATGCTTGCAAAATTAATTTATGTCAGCTTGTATAAAAATGTTCACCACATTTTCTTTTGCGTCTTCTTCTTCTTCTTCTTCTTCCAGAACTGCTGGTACAGTTGGTGCTGTTGTGACTTGTCCCTTGGAAGTGGTTAAAACACGCCAACAGAGTTCAACTTCTTTTATCGCGCCGACACGTCTCGAACCGGCAAGCTCCACAAATGGCTCCAGCGAATTGTTACGACCCGAACAGCGACGTAAATTGAGCACGACAATTTTGCGTAAGAGGTCACAGCCACAGGTGATTGGGGGTGTGCGTAGGGTAGTACCAATTTTATAATCCATTTTTTTTTTTCTTTTCACAAGAAATAAAGTACTCTCTCCTAGCTACTTGGCAAGTGGAATTATTAATAATATTTGATTTTCGTTTTTTTTTATTTTTACACGCTTTACAGATAATGGCTATCTCACATTGCGGCATCTCATCCACCTCCACAAAATCAATGAGCATCGTGCAGTGTTTAAGGTAAGTATTGGAAATTTAAATGACAAAAAATTTTATTAAGGAAAATGGGTTGCCAAATAGGGGTGGCATTTAGCTGGCGAAATTCTCGCTAACCCAGCAGAAAATTTGTAATTGCTTCTTGTATGAACATGTCGGGGCTAAGTAGTTCACGCCTAGTTTAGGACCATTTCGAGGCCAGTTCAGGATCATTTCGGGTCAAGTTCACGAATATTTTAGGATAATTTTGGGACTAAGGCTGGACTGTTTCAAGACTAGCTCAGAACTATTTCGGACGCATTCGGGACTAGTTTGGGATCATTTTGGGCTAATTCGGAATCATTTAGGTGCCGTTTCGGGACCTGTTGGGTTCATAACCACGTCAGGACTATGTACATATGCATATAGTTGTGGACTATTCCGGTCCTTTTTCAGCACCGCTTCAAGACTAGTTTGGGATCATTTTGACATTAGTAAGGAACCATTTCGGGACCGTTTCAAGAGTTCTTCGAGATCTTTTCAGGACAAGTACATGACTCTTTCAGAACCTCTACAAGATTACTTGGGCAATTTTGGGACTAGTTCGGAATAATTTTCAGGTTAGATCGAAACAATTTACGAAATGTCTCTGAAATAGTCCTGAACCATTTCCGAAGTGGCTATGAAAAGGCCGTGGTCCCACCAAAATGAATAAAATGAAATGAAATGTTAGACGCTTTATTTTTTTTAACTTGAGTAATTTTTGAAAAAAATATCACTCTGAAGTAAACAACCTTTTTTATATTTTAATTCTTTTTACTATTTTATACAGATAATAATTTTTTTTTTTGCCTATTTTTGCAGACACATAGTACAAAATGAAGGCCCACGCGCTTTATTCAAAGGTCTGGGACCGAATCTTATTGGTGTGGCACCTTCACGAGCGATATATTTTTGCACCTACTCACAAACAAAGAATTTTTTAAATAGTGTAAGGTAAGTAAATGCTTGATTGAAAATAATTATATAAAAATCTACGAAAGAATAAGTATAGGGTGTTATATAAATTCGCATTTTGCGCTTAAAGGCGAGTAGAGAGTGAAATTTTGTAAACAAAATTTTTTCTTTTAGAACTGAAAAAGTTATAAAATTAAAGTAACGGGTGATTTTTTTGAGGTTAGGATTTTCATGCATTAATATTTGACAGATCACGTGGGATTTCAGACATGGTGTCAAAGAGAAAGATGCTCAGTATGCTTTGACATTTCATCATGAATAGACTTACTAACGAGCAACGCTTGCAAATCATTGAATTTTATTACCAAAATCAGTGTTCGGTTCGAAATGTGTTTCGCAAACCCAATTGCTGCGAACGGCGACGAATCGACATTTCACGGTCTTCAGCAACACTCTCAGAAACAGACGCAATATTCTCTTCTGTACGCACTGTACGCATTCGTGTGGTTGGTTTAATGTCCAATAAAGTAAACTGAGTGCGAAACTTGGTCACAATCGCATTAATTGTTTGCTCACTTGGTCGATTATGTAGACCATAAATCGGACGTAAAGCGAACCGAACACTGATTTTGGTAATAAAATTCAATGATTTGCAAGCGTTGCTCGTTAGTAAGTCTATTCATGATGAAATGTCAAAGCATACTGAGCATCTTTCTCTTTGACACCATGTCTGAAATCCCACGTGATCTGTCAAATACTAATGCATGAAAATCCTAACCTCAAAAAAATCACCCGTTACCTCATCTCACCCTCAAAAATAAAAATAAAGTGCAGAGCTTTTCTACACCCTATAAAAAAATCCCACGATTTGCACCATTTTTCGAAGGGTGTGAAGAAACAAGAATCGTTTTAGTTTCATTGAAAAATTAAATTTTGTACAAAAAAAGAAGCACGCCTCGAACCCATTTTTCAACCAGTAAGTCAAGGATTTGTTCTATAATGAGTTTCATGAATTTAAGGTTTGTTGCGATATGTTGCTTCCTGGACATAGTAGCTCAGAGATTGGTTTAAATACACCATTTCCAACCCCCTACAAAATGCGCCGAAAATAGTCGTCGTTGTTGTTCTTGTAACAGCCTACGAAATTCCCTAAAGGATTTTTGGGAAAATGATGCTGGAAAGGAAGTTCTTGGCCAGATATGAATCTGGGTCGTTCCAGTTACGTTGACCCAACTGTCGTGGGAATCCGAACATAGTCGCCAAATGATGCAGTAAAAACGAGTTAATCGTTAACTCCAAGAAAACTAAAAGAATCGGTTTCTTCAATAAGGCACAAATTATTAGAAGAATTCCGTCAAGGAGAAAAGAAAAGTCATTCGGTTATTCTTGCTGACAAGCTCTCATGAATCGGCACCTGTATACGTTGATAAAGTTATCCAAATGCCACGGCTTTCATCTAGACCTGCCGGATTCGTATAGGGGAGCATAAACGGGGCATAAGATCCAAAATTGTCAAGGTGCAACTGGGTGGCCTGTACCCTCCTCTAAACCTAAATCTAGGTAACTAGTAAGTTACTTAATGTTAGCTCTACTGAAACGTTACTGATTTCCGTGCTTACTTACTCAGTATAAAAGGGATTTGATTCTGACTAAGGGCACCAGTTTAGAGAGAGTCCTGTAAGTCATTTTGTCAATTCGAGCAAATCGGAACTTTACTTATAACCTTTGATACATAAAAGAGAATATTCAGCACAAGTTTCGGACTAAGTTTAAAGCTTATTTTTTGTCCGATATTAATGAGCATTTAAATAGTATCCTTCGGTGCGATTAATGTGATCCTGTAATAATTGCTCATAGACCTCATTGCTCATAGCAATCAGCGAACTCTGGAATCAGACCCTAAGAGTGGCATAGTGCGCTACACTGGCACCTAAAATACAGGAGACGCTGTGCAAATTCTTTATGGACATTTCTAAATGCTACATTACCAGCATAGTTACACCTAAGTAGATTCTTTAACAAGTCCAAGTAGTTTGACGATACCAACAAAATGTAAAAGCCGATAGGTATTATCAGCAGTTCCAGGGAGAGTGTGTCAATGCATTTAGGTGCTGGGCCAATCTCAGATAACCATACTACCAATCAACCAAGACCACAAAATGGTTCCTCTTCCATCCTTCTTGCTATTTAGTTGGCAACACCGTTGCCGCCTTATTCCAACATACTTACACAAAGGGGAAAGTTTCTACAACTTTATAGACCATTTTCGCTCACCACTACGCTGGAGTAATATTTTGTATACATTTATTATCAATAATACATACATTTTTAACGGATAGGATAACTTATTAACAAACAAAATTCCTTGTTAATAATTCGTCATACATTTTTTTTGTTTGTATTTCCAGTTTCCTGCAAACCGAATCACCGCAAGTGCACATATTAAGTGCTGCCAGCGCTGGTTTCGTCTCGTCCTCACTAACAAATCCCATTTGGTTTGTTAAGACGCGCCTGCAGCTAGACTACAATTCCAAAGTGCAAATGACCGTGCGTCAATGCATAAATCGGGTGTACTCGCAAGGTGGCATAGCTGGTTTCTACAAAGGCATCACCGCCAGTTACTTTGGCATATGTGAGACAATGGTGCACTTTGTCATTTACGAGTTTATCAAATCGAAATTGGTAAGTAAAACTGAACGAAATACAAAACAAAGAATACTTGATTAATCCATTTCTCTTCGTTCACACAGATTGAAATGCACAACACACGTAACGGTGATGCCAAATCATCGAAAGATTTTCTGGAATTTATGATGGCTGGTGCCATTTCAAAGACTGTAGCATCTTGCATTGCATATCCGCATGAAGTGGCGCGTACAAGACTGCGGGAAGAGGGTAATAAATATAATAAATTTTTCCAAACGTTACACACCGTCTGGAAGGAGGAAGGGCGGGCTGGACTATATAGGTAAGTGGTACAAGTATCTAGTAAATTTGTAATAATTACCAAATGGCTAAGAAATTTTCTTGAGACAGTACACAGTTTTTCTGAAAAAAGAGCACAAGGCAACCCATGCTTGCAACATAAATATATGCCCGTTCCATTATTTCTTGAGGAAAGAGTGAGGCAACAGGCTGGTAGGAAGTATCAGATGTCAAAATTCCTTGGCCGCACACACGAAATAATGTCAATTATTTCTTGGCTGTTTTCTTGAGAGCGGAATACTGGCCTTAAACAAGCAATTTTTATGCGCAAAACAAAACCGACTTCAATGCTCCTATAAGAGTTTAGGGAGTCCCGTTAAGTTCTTAATCATCCAATGAACGGAACTAAACAAAATTAGTATTGAGGTATCGCCTTTCCGATAAAATAAAAGAATTATCGAAAACAGTCCACGTGGTCTAAAGTTATCCGGTTACATAAAGTAAATATATAAACACAAATATGCTCCTTTTTTCAAACCGTTTAAAAAGCGAAAGAATTGCGTTTGTACTTTTTGTAATCAAAGCGTATAACGGCAGATTTTTTGTTGTTTTCAAAAAATACTTGTGTGCATTTTTGCATACAACTCTCCACTAATTGACCCCCCCGACCACTGATATGCATAAATTGTGAAAGAAAAAATGTAACTTATTGCGCTTGCATTTTTCAAATGCTTTCATATGTAGTACATATTGTGCAATTGCAAATGTACAAGCATGTATATACATACATAGTACATAAATTTATATATGAATGTGTATTTGTATACTTCAATACTTGACCACTCCTATGGACATTCGACTGCTTCGTTGTGGTATCTATTTTTATTTCGCTTATCTCTATGAAGTATACACCAGTCACACCCACATACATATTTACATACATATGAGCGCATATTTCACACCGTCTGTCGAATGCTTTTGTGCCCCTTACTGATTTATTTGTTTTGCGTTTTTTTTTATTATTCGATGACGCACTAAAATTTTGAGCGCATAAATTTAACTTTTTGACTGCCAAAATGTATACTTTTCATTATAAATTTCCAATTTTTACTATAAATTTGTATTTTTTTATATTCATATGCGCTTTGTTAAAATAACGTTAATTGATTTGTTAAATAAGAATCAATGCCATAGTGATAGCTGTAGTCAATCAAAACAGGTAAAAAATATACTAAGGAATTTAGTTGCGATTGCAAATGAATTTGCTAATCAAATGTGCTCACACCATGCATATCTGCATATGATGTTTATTGGTTAGGTACAGTTTATTGGAAATGAGCCCTTGATATTTTCTAAGGTCAAATATCCACTCTAATTATTTAACTTTATTAATGATTTTATAATATCATTACAAAACTATGTTTAGGGCAGCGAAACTATCGATTTTTTCTTTAATGGGGGCATATTGGGGAACTGTTTCAGGAAATTTACTCGGTATCTGTCTTTTTGCGAACACAAATGTAGGGTCTAATAAATGTTAACGAGTCGTGATATTCACAGTCAAAAAAATTACCTTTAATGTGTCCGAAGATGGAAAGAATTGCTATTAAAATTTCTGCACGTTTTTTGGATAGGTCTCCCACTAAAGTTTGCAGTTGGAACGTATGTTCCGCCTAATGCGAAAATCTTCAAGATCAGTGTAGTTTATAATAATTTTGGATTCGAAAATCAGCTTATAGAACTATGGTGGAATTCGATAAGAGAATTATGTGAAAACCCCAGACATTAGAAACCAATTAGAATTCAACGTTGATTGTGATTAGGTATCTAACCTGTCCACGATATCGAGTACAAAGAATCGAGTATCAATGCTACAATTCTGGACAGTTTTTCTAATCGCCTTCTAACTTTTTAATTAAAAAAAAAACACTTAAGAATTCGAATCGTTTTCTAATAGTTCACTAGCCAATTTGTTTGTTGGAAGGGTATACTTATATCCCGTACCACAGAGTTTTTGTGATATAACTCTGTCCTTACTTGTTTTCTGATATATTTCTAATATAATTTTTTTTTGTGTTTTCGTTCTGCACTTCGCGGCTGCATTTACAGATTTACGAAAAACAAAAAAAACAAAAAAATATTACTTTCTGCAATTATTTTTGGTACTACTTCTTATACACCACTAGGTGACACCCTCGACTCCGTCTGCGTAGTTTACTACTTTTCAATATATACAATTTCGTACCATCAGTCGAAATAAAGATCCGCTGCAGTATAAATGTATTTTTAATTTTTTTTTAATGTTATATAACTACGTACATATGTATGTACGCACGCAGTGTATGTTTTTAATCTCGTCTAAATCGGACTATAAAAAAAGAATTTCCATAATATCTCGGCAACGCCGAGCAGATCCATTTCTGAATGTATTTCTTGTACTTCATCGAAATCGGACTGTTAAAACAGATTTTATGATCTCGACTCTAGCGCAACCTAGCGGACGAATTTTTCATAAAACTATTTCTCGTCAAACCCTAAGTAGAAGTTTCTAATTTCATCAAAATCGGATCAGAGGTACAGTTTTTGTGAATATCGACGCATGCGCCACCTACCGGATTCAAATATAGCCTATGTCCGTAGCTCTTTCGATAGAAGCAACATTTTAATGTCATACAAAAAAGGTTTTTAAAGCTGTTGTAATTGCCTTTCACGGAAAAGAATTGGTCAACAATGGAGTTCTTCTAAAAAATTTAAACCCGTCAATCGAAAAAATGCATTATTTATACCATTCGAACACAAAGTACGTTGTAGTGCTATAAAGATTTTTTAATTTTAGCCATGGAAAAAGTGTTTCTAGGCCCTCTAAACTCACAATAAATATATGCATCTGCATGGAATGCGAGAAATAAAAAAAAAATCGATAACCCAACGTTGCAAGAAATTTTGAGTTTACTGAAATTGTATTGTTTGCTCATTCTAACTTTAAAGTCCTAAAAATTTAATATTTTATCCGCTAAAAACTTGCAAATTCACCTCGAGATCATACCTAATGAGCAAACAGCAGATTCGAATATCTGTTTTGCTCATGTTCGAAAAATCAAAATCCGATAGAATTTCACGACACCAAATGAAACAGGTATCGGTTTCCGTTTGTATACTTTTTTTGTATACCATTAATTCTGTACTATGTATACGCAATAATGACGATGAGAAATGCAGCAGTCGCTTAAACCACACCGATACAATAGAAAATGTATTCGATAAAAATTTCCAAGAAATTTCAATGAAATGAAAAATATATTCATTATCGATACGTGTACCGATTAAAATCGATTTTCACCGATAACTATCGCTAAAAGTACCGATAACTAATATGTGTACATACCAAGAATGATAGAATACAAGATTGCGCCGATCAGAGAGGATTTTTGAGAATAACTTTTGTGTGACGTCACACTGGTGCAATTGCGAGAGAGAAATGCCAAAACGTGAGCAAGAATGGAAGAAGAAGAAAAAATGTTGCAAAGAAAACGTAAACAAGTTGCACCAGTGTGACGTCATGCAAACAACGATTCTGTCAAATTCGTTAAGAGAGGAATAGCGGTCCGAGATCGGCGCAACCTTTGTATTCTCTCAATCGTGTGTACATACATATGTATCAACTCTATTCATAACAATATAGAAAAATATTTATGGCTATCGATAAGAAATTCGATAAAGATATCGAAAAGCAAAGTACAAGAAAAACCACCGCAATGACCACATGATCAAGTCTAAATAGCAACACAACAGTTACCCTTGATTATAAGTTGAAAAATCAACAACAATTTACATGGCAAATTTAGCTCACTAGCTTTGTAAGCCTTAGTCGCTGGTTCAAAACCCAGTGAACTCGATAAGGAAGTCTAATGAGGATATTTTGGTGATTTCCGAAATAGTAGCTATAAATAACTCTTACCATGTGTGAAATTCTTGTTGTTTTTCCACAAAAATTTTCAATTAAAACCGCCTCAAGCTTAAGAAAATTGTTGAATGTTAGAAAGAAAACTCAATATTGAATATTTTAATTTGCTTAATAAGGTATGGGCTATGCCAGTATACGATCACTTGAGGCTGCTCACTACCCCAGATTCGCCAATTTTGCTTATAAACACAGCCACCGAGCGTGAAATGAGCCTCATCGCCAAAAGAGATTTTCTTCGAAATGAGCGAAAACGCAGCCACTGAAGATTCACGCATGCTTCGGTCGTAAAACGAACCTTATTGTGAAATGGCAAAACTTTAACTAAACAAATACCAGTTGGATAACATTGACATTTGACAAATGGCAGGTCGAAGTGTATGCATATTCCGTTATTTTAATTTTTTTTTAATATGTCATAGTAGAATACATATTTTCTAATTTTAATTTTATTTTGCATAACTGGATATTAAATTTACGTGATTCACCAGGTGTCGTAAGTGTCGTATTGTCGTATGTTGTAAAGTTTTTAACGACTAAATAAAAGTTTGGAGGACTTGAAACCATAACCACATATTTTTTAACGGTGTAAAATGTCATAATATGACTTTTATGGTAGCTTGCGAATACGTTAAATATAGTTTTAGCCGTTTAAAGTTTACGACATATACAACAGTATACAACACCTTGTGAACTCCCTGATTGTTTAGTTGCGCTTTTCACAAACTTTTTATATATTTAAATATATTTTTGTACTAATTTCCTTCATTTCATTTCCTTTTATCTTTGCAGAGGCTTAGCGACACAACTGGTGCGGCAAATACCTAACACAGCTATAATGATGGCCACCTATGAAGCGGTCGTGTATGTGCTAACGCGACGATTTAATAATAAAAGCAATGAATTCTACGACTTTTAGATTTGTTTTCAATTGCGGCTTAGTTGCAATGAAATCGAACAAATTGCGTGATTAAATCCACACGGGGAGTGGTACAAGTGCAATGAGTAGTGCGTGCACGCATGCATCGCTGCATGCTTACTATAGTGGTCTGTGAGGGTGTGTGTGTGTGTGCACTGCTGACCACGTGTGGGTGTGTATGTGTATAGGACAGAGGCGTCACGATGTTTTTTTTTCAAACCGCATTTAGTTGCAAAGTTACTATGCAACTTTGTAGCTAAAGAACAAAAAAAAAATAAAAATAATATAGCTATTTTAATTTATTGAAGCGTGTTTTTAGGCGCTTAAGAGTAGTTGGCACGAGTGAAAACTGCAAAACGTTGAAGCTGAAAACAGCTGTACCTACAACGAATTGACTAACTGTATTAGAATAGTTAAAAAAAATTCCAGCAGCTACATTTCAAGATGCAGTTTGTTTGATTGATTGCTATATGAAAAAAGTTTTTGCGCGCAAATTTTATTAAGAAAAAATTATAAATTTTTTATTGCTGCTATCAGAAGCAACCAGTTAAAAAGTTAACTACTTTTAAGAGGCAAGACCCTTATACATAAATATACTTATGCATACAAGCATAGATACAATCACTGGAGTACTGTATTCCATTTAGGAAGACGGAAAAAAGCGCAATGGCTTGCGTAAATAAGTAGATTTGTTTCTTCATTTTTTGCTTAGTTGTAAACAGCCAAAAAAAGAAGAGACATTGCAATTTAGTTTTGTCCTTATTTCAACAAAAATTTTGGTTGGATATTCGCTATTTTCGATCAGCACTTGCACATAAATAGATACGTATAAATATTTGAATTTGGTGTGATCCATTTCTCAGATCTATAAGTTACTTGTATGTAGTTCGAGATAATCTCGTATAGAAATATGTGTTTTTTTTTTTAGAAGGAACACAAACCGCTTACACACATACATGCATACACAATTGAATACTAATTGTAAAACAATTGAAAAATAATATATATTTTTTTGGAAGTCAACTTATTAACATACATACATACATATGTATATATGTATAAACAAGTATGTACTATGTATTCTGCACTCATAAGGTTTAAAGAACATTAGTTGGTAGTGTTAAATAATTTAATTATTCCACTTTACATGTTTACTATAATCATAATTATTATATACATACATACATATTATTTTAACTAAGCGCTAAGTGATGGAAAACTAGAAATTTTAGTTGAAGATGTGTCATATGCTTACGTACAAATGGAAGTGTAAACACTGGAAGTGCTGCATACATTTGATTTTCTTCGTTAATATTTTCAGTATATATCGTATGTAGATCATCAAGTAATACATATGTACATACATACTACATACATGTGTACATTAGACCGTACAAGAAAAAAGTTCTCCGTGCACCACTGAGTACATATTAATAAAGTATTTTTGCATGGGAGTTTAGAAAATAAAAAATCGTCATATCTTCGGCATTTACAGTATGATATATCGATATATGTGACCTGGTCTACGGTGTCAAAAAATCAATTTTCACTTTTTGGTTGATTCGGATGGAAGATGAGATGCTTTTCACTTTTAACAGCTTTTTCACAGAAAACTAGTTTTCGCACGTAAGCTCCCTTTTCGTAGACCAGGTCACATATATACATTTTCTTTTGTTTCACAGTTCATAAACCTCAAGGAGCCCGTTCAATTACTTATCCACCAGATCTCAGTTGTGTCTCTGTCACCCTAACCTACCACCCTAATGTCAGTAAATAAAAATTCGCCAAAAATCATGGAACTTTTGCTAAGAAAGTATTGCGATTATTCCAGTAGGACTAGTATTTAAAAAATTATCTTTTATTGCAATTTTTTTCCAAATCGCTTTGCAAAAAATTTTTGAACTCAGTAGTGTACGGAGAATTTTTTCTGCTTGCTTCTAAGTTGGTACGGTCTAGTGTACATGCTCATGCCATATACAAATTACTTAACTACATAAGTATATGATTTGTTTAAAAAGAGTAAATGGTTGTTTTATGTTTAAAGAAATAATAAAAACTGATTATTACAAAAACGTTCGATAAAAAGCGTGCAATTCAAATGCACTAACCAAAAAGTATGTAAATTATTTGTTTAGCATTTTTAAGTGGAAATCAAATTTAATTTAATTTACATAATTGTGTGTGTGTGTGTGTACTGTCTGTAAAAAATGTATTAAATGCAAGCTTAATGCCCGATTTATATTATTCCAGCAACATGCCAATGCAGTGATCCAACCCAGCGCTTAACGAGAATGGCGACTGATTTGAATTCGTTTTGCTGTATGACTCTTCCAGAAATGGAAGACTGCACTGGCATGCTACTGGAATAATGCAAACCGGACATAAAAGTTGCTTTAAATTTTGCAGAGTTGAATTCTCACACTGACAGACTATCACCAATTGAAACAAATATGAAACCCGAAACAATGAATAAGGCTGCTCTAGTGTTAGACTGCAAAGTAGCACTTAAAAAAAAAATGTTAAATAATGAAAGAGAAATTAGTAATTAATGATTATACTGTAAATTATATGTACATACATACATATATAGATTGGTCATTAAATATGCTAAATATTTTTGTTTTGTAAATACATAGTATATAGATGGAAAGAGGTGTGATAAAATGTATTTTAATTTTTTCAAATTGGCACATCATTTGCAGAATTGTATGAAAGAAAGGACCAAAATAAAATCAAATGGCTGGTTGGAATCGTTTCACAAAACACAAGCCTAAAAATAGACTTTTGATTTGCTAAATGCCTGGTCGAGTTCACTTTGCGCGCATTTTACGCAGACTAAGCTATTTGTAAGAGCTAGCTGTTAGATTAACGCGGATATAAATGAATAAAATCCGGAGTTTTCGTTTGGCTGGAGGCGTTCACTATGTCAAATTCCTACCCTGGTGTAGGAAAAAGCGTTGGATGATACTTTGAAAAACTTTGTTCGTTCTGGCACAAAAGTCTTACAAAAAAAGGTCACTTTATGTATAATTATAATCCTCGGGCAGATATTTCTGTTTTAGTTAAATTTTGTTTGCATAAAATTTTCTTTTTTGTAGATTTTCTTTAAATTTTTAGAAAAAAGTTTTGTATTTTTATATTTTTTTTTTGCTTTTAATTATTTTTTTAATTTTAAGATTTTATTGTTTTAAAAAGGAGAATATGTTTTCAGTTTCGACAAATTTTTGGCAGCTTACATACTTCATTTTTTAATTTTATTTATTTTTTCTTTTCTTTTAATTTAATTTCGTTTTGATCTTTAGCTTTACTTGCTTTGAAAAGAAAATTATTTTTTTTTTTTAAATTTCATATAATTTTTAGGAAGTTGTATATTTTCCTTTTTTAATTTCATTTTGTCTTTGCTTTTTCAATGTAACTTTTATATCTTATTGTTTTAAAAGGAAAAATATTTGTTTAATTTCTTTTGATTTTTAAAAACTATTTATTTTTGTTTATATATTTTTTTCTTTTTTAATCTTTATTTTCTCTTAGTATTGCTTTAAAAAGAAATATATATATACTTTGGATTTTTTTTAGAAAACTTATTGCTAAAACACTTTCGTTAGCAGATCATTTTTAATTAGTCTTTCAAAAGTCAGAGAAGAGCTTTCAAGATAGTTGCCATAATGGTCTTGTAAGTTTTCGGTCGAGTATTTACGCTGGTAAATCGGCAGTCCCGATTAAAGAGAAAAGAAGTTGTGTGTGTCTCGAGAAATCTTCGTTAAAATATGATATTGTGAAATCCGCCTTACTCTGCAGTGTGGAATGAATATTTAACACTCAACTTCATATCAGAAATTTTATCTATTTCATAACTTATCAATCAAAAAGTAAAAAAACGCAGAAAAACTATTTCAGACATTCAAGCCGTTGTACATTTTTTTTTCGTTATTAACGTCGTCCAAAAAGCCATCTAAATGTATGTACATACATATACAGTTGTCCACAAAATAATAGGAGTGCGATATTTTGACCAGTTTTGGCTATTTGTCTTTTGTTTATTTAATGTTTATTATTGTTTTATAAAAGCCTAGCTGGCTATACAACAAACACCATATAAATTCAGATTTTAAACTTTGTATAAAAATTATAAAAATTTTGCAATTTTTCACCCAAATTTCAAACTTTTTAATCAGAATCT